AGAGCTTTTGAATCAAATGGCTGTGTTCCCGTTGTAGTGAAGCTGTGGCTAGAAAAATATTGCTCCCTGTTTGGTTTGTGCGGCAGACATGTCAACAGCTAAAAGAAATGCTTCCATTATCATCATTTAATTCCAGTAATTAAATCTTCTTGCCATTACCGATAGCTTTTTGCACGCAGTTTCAAATGTCATCTACTACCGCAGCTAGGCCAGCCAAAGCAAGCATCGTAATCCGTTATCCGTTGAGGCGGGAAGACCTATTGTTCAAATTAGCCAATCATTGAAGGGACAGACTGCCTTCAAAAACAATTGGTAATAGAATATGGGGAATGGAAGATAGTTCGGAAGAATTTATATGAAAGCTGGCTGAAGTGATGTTTTTATCTTTTTGAGATAAGACTATTTTATTTCATGCTTCCTTGAAATTCAAGAGCGCTTACCAAACGCATATTAGAAAAATGACTTATGTACACATTGTATGAGTCATATAGTCATACGAGTCATATTGTAGCGACAATTATTGAACTAGAATAGAATAAAAAAATTCCCTTTAAACCGTATCGATATTTTCCTAAACGTCTAATTCTACCTACGCTAAACAGGATGCAGCAAAAATAAATGAATTAAACACGGATGAAAGGAAAATGGTGAAAAAGGAACGAAATAAAGAAAAATTTTAAGGCTCTTATTGTTTCGTTATCTTTGATTTGTGAAATGATATCGACGCTCTTATTCTGTTCTCGAATTGATCGATGTGTCAACAGAGTATTCGTTTTTCTTTTCTTTAAACGATGAAGTTTAAAACAAACAGAACTTCTACAGGGCAAAACTATTTCAACTCAACCGAGTTTAACTAAAACAGAAGAATGCGCAAGAGCAAAAATACCTGGTGTTTTCTTGATCCAATAAAAGCGTCGTTGCATCGTCTGAGTCTGAATTAACGACGTTATTGATTTAGTTTAGCGTGTATGTCCTTCTTAAAAATAACAGCATTTGTCATCTATTCGACAATACACGACTTATTAAATTACTAAAAAGCTTTCGAGTAAAAAATATTCCTTACGTAAGTCCCTGTGTGCAAATGGTCCATGGTATCTAAAGAAGCTCTCCTTTTCTATCCATTTCAAATTCCTTAAGATTGATTTTTATATAAAAAGCAGCATATCTAGTTAACATTTTGCCCTTTTTAAGGCGCCTTCGTAATTTTGCTTCATCGGTTATCACAATCAGCTAGCATTCCAATTTTGAAGCAGCTGCCTCCAGGCATTGTCAAAATCAAAACCGGCGTGATTTCATTCAACGACGCCAATCTGCTCCGCCCAAAAGGGTTGGCAGCACAAACAACATTTTAGCGTAAAACGTGCGAATGATTTTGAGAACAAATTTGAATTCGAATTTGAAAGCCAAAGCAGCTACGTATCTTGCTAAGTAATTTTTGCATAGAAATTTCTTGAATTTGGCAGTTTGATAAGAACAACAGCGTTGACACGAGACCGATCCCATTTGGAACCGTACTAAAATGAGCACTGTTAGGCCTTCCGTTTACACGGGACCCGTCGAAGCCGTTCCAAATGGAACTGCCAGCCGTACCAAAAAGGTTCCAGTTGGAACCGTTCCAAAATTTCTCGTTTGAACGCAGTCTAAAAGGCAACTTGATGCGTATCTAGAAAAAGGAAACTACACGAGCTTGTCAGTTTTTTTAATAAGTGGCTTTGTTTGGCTGCATTGCATTCTGGGACTCAACGCATACAGTAATCGTATAAGTGAACTTCAATTTGAGATTAGTGTTCTATCATAGGCCAAAGAAATGCTATATATAGAGATTGTTGTGCAAGCATGTCAACCTGGAAGAACCTGTATTTGACACATTGAGTGGCTAGGTGGCAAAATGAAATAATGTTTGCCTGTGTTGATGCCAATTACAAGGAGCTATCAGCGAAAAGTGACCAAAAGAAGTGTAAATTAATGCCCAAACCAGCAAATTATGGCGGAAAAGTAAACCGTTACTGTATTTAATCACCGATTCTCATGTTAAAGATGCTCAGTATTGTTCAAATTTGCTAAGGACAAGCACAAAAGTACCTGTCGTAGTGAGAATGGTCGATGCTTTCGATGCACCAATATACTAGGACCAATTCACATTTACGAGAGTTTTAACAACCAAGGAGAGATGAACTTACATAAGCGTTTTTTATGAATCATCCATGTAATACTAGAATTTATAAATAATTACAAGAACCCATAAAGAATTTTTAAAGAATCAAAAGTCAACTTTATCCCATTACATCACTGACACCTCACCCCTTTCCACTAAAAGCGTGTTTTGAATTGTAAGGCATTCTTGTTGAGGTGCAAGGTTTTCTTGTTGCAATTAAATGGAGGGAAAAACTAGCTACAAATTTACGTACTGTATGTACGAAAACAACAATAAAAAGTCAATTGGACTGTTGTCTTACATTTTAAACAAGATTGCATTGAGAAGCAAGTAGCTAGATCTTAAGTTTTACATTAATGTATACAAATCTTTTACTATAAGTTGATTTCAAACTATTCCACTTAGGTGCTAACTGTCTCAATAAAGGCAAATATCAAGATTAACATAAAAAATTAAATTTGTTCTACTTTTGTTTGAATTCACATATCACTATAAAGTTTTTTCTTTTCCTTAGACACAAAATGAATAAATCATTGATTGTTGTTGTTGCTTTGGCTGTCCTCATGGTAGCATTCCAAGAAACAGAATGTTTTACAGGCGGAGGGATCATAACAAAGAAATCTCTGGTAACATCCAAAGTTTTTTTGGAAATTTAACCGTTATCATCTACTAATACTGGTTGATCTTTGATAGCAACCAGGAAAAAAGAGATAAAAGGCAGTAGACCAATGTAGAAGACATATAGCCTGTGATTATAGTGAGAAGTTATCCCGGTGTTATCGATTCCCGACTCCAAAAATGGCGATTCCCGACTCCAAAAATGGCGATTCCCGCTTCATTATTGGGTACCCTCTTCTAATAGGAATGATTCTTTAATAAGTCGTCTTAACTCTAAGTCGTCTTAACTCCTTGAGCTGTCGTTCCATGTGGGACACATTTAATGTCAAGCAGACAATTGGAGATTTTCCTTAACTTTCCCCCTAACTAATGATAGTTGAAAGAAGGATTCCAAGTAGACTTTTTGAGAAAAAAGTGCAGCATTTGTACTGCCTCACAGCCTAGGTTGCACACGATTTCCCCATTATTGTAAGTTTTTATACCGAATAGAAACAAAATCAGTGGCGTATAGGAGGTATATGGGGCCCCCTATTAACGGTTGTAAGGAACATTCCATCCAGTGGTGTAGAGCATGGCAAACACAATAGCAGGCCATACCATACCATACCATACCATACCATACCGTACCATACCATACCATACCATACCATACCATACCATACCATACCGTACCGTACCATACCATACCATACCATACCATACCATACCATACCATACCATGCCATGCCATGCCATGTCATAACATACCATGCCATGCCATACCATACCATGCCATGCCATGCCATGCCATACCATACCATACCATACCATACCATGCCATGCCATGCCATACCATACCATACCAAACCAAACCATATCATACCATTTGTCGTTAAACATGCTTTTCTATGTTTTAGGCTGAAAAAAGAGAGGTTGAAATATGCAAACGGGTTGTCAAAAGATGTTCTGCTGTTTTGTTCAAAGAAAAGCGAGCTATCGATGAAGAGGTGGATGAAATCGAGAAGCTTCAGCTCTGATTAGGCCCTGATGAAGAAAGAGTGTTATCTAGAGACACCCTATGCATTCAGAATATTCAATGATTCTTCAGTATTAACGAGATGTGTAGATAAACTTGTATTTGAACCGATTTGCACTTAGTAAACCTGCAAAGTCGTCTCTCGATTTGTAAAACAAACTCCATGCTAGGTAAGCTTAGTGAGCATGAAAAAGAAAAGGAGATAGCTCGCGTCTGTTGTTTCAGTCGATGTTTCTAACTTGACCAAAAAGGAACGTTGGTATAGCAACAGTGTGGTTCTGCTGCTCAGAATAGCACGTTGAATGAGGAAGATAGGGATAAAAATATAAAATTTTTATACCTGGCGACAGGGGTACGACATTGACATGTCGCGGCGGTGAATTTAAGATGTAATCTAGGTCATATGAAACCAATTTGAAAGGAAATTTATCAGCTGAAAACAGGATTTTAGCAAATTACTATACAGAACATTTTTCAGCCATGACGAAAAACAGTGGAAGATTCTAACTTTCTATTTGAGGCATATCGATTTCTTTATGATAGGTAAGCTTCTATTGATCAACTTCGACACATTGGCCTAGTTTATCAATATGTGGATGATTCAAATTTTGAACTTTCGTTTGTCGATAAAGTTTTAAATTGTTATGTTGCGGTTGAGACAGGAACAGGGTTCATGAAAATGGTCATTTGGCGGCCGACAAGAGGAGAAAGTTCTTGAAAAACAAAATCTCAAATAGCCCACCCGTGTCATGGCTTTTTCATCATGCCGTCCTATCTGAGGAAAGTTTTCAAATGCTTATTAGACAACGGAAAGTTGAAACATTTTCTGGTCTCTGCAAAGTTTTGGTTAACTATCTTAGGTTTCTGAACATTCCATACTATGTATACCCCCCTCACCCCTCCACCCGAAACAATGTTGTTATATTCAAAGTTAAGAAGTTCGGGGTGGTCCAACGAAATCATTTTAGATAACTGCGAAATTAAATTCGACAACCAACATTTTCTTTTGATGAGGGAGTGCTTTGTCAGTCGTACAACATTTAAGCAACAGGGCGTTCCAAGTTTGGTAGTAAATCTTTATTCCTTATTTCATCTGAATCATGACAAAGACCTTTCCAGGACAAATTTGTGAATCATGACAAATTTGTCCCAGCATGGCTTCACAGCCAGGGTGTGTCAAAATGGTCACTGAAGATGTACCAAAAATAACACTTATTTCATTCCAACAATTAAGATTTCATAATGGATTTAGACAACTATTCTATTAACAACTTTCAAAATGGAAATAAAGTTCTAAAAATAAATATCCGAGGTATTAATTCTAAATCAGTTTTATTTTACACTTAGTTGGTTTTTCCACTATCTTGATTTCGATTCAAGCCTCTGCGAAGGCTTAGTTTAAGGGGAAGACGTAAGGAATTCCTTAAGAGTGTGTCATTAAGGTGGCAAAAGAAAATGATAATTCCCTAAGGAAAATGAAGTCATTAAGGTGGCAAAAGAAAATGATAAGGGCTGTCACTAGAACCTAACCGAAAAGACCACAAAGGTAGTGCTGGAATAGAATGTGTTGCATTCATTTGCGAGCCCTATAACAACTGTTAATAAATTACAATAGATTCGAAAAAGAAAATATTACTCATCATTTTTATACAAATGTGGCATTAAAATGTCATCCTTCTCGACAATATATGCAAAGATGAGCCTTGAATCACAAGGAATTATTCAAAGTCATGATTCTGCAGAAGTATCTCAATTTTCTGCGTTTTGTTATTCATTGTATGTAGAGTATTTCCAACATAGTTTGCATCTCCGATCTAGAAGTATTTCAGATTCTTTTCCAAAATTACGGAAAGCCATAGGCTGCCTCCACAGCAACCCAATATAACCCTGAAATTTTTTGGAAATGGATAGCAATTTCATAGAAACAAAACGTCGACAGCGTTTTCAACTACATGCAGCTTTTTGTCATATGAAAGGACCTCGGCAGTGATCTCGTTTTTAGCGTATCTGTTGGAGCAGAGGCCGAGTTTGAAAACGAGTTAAGCTCCCTCGCACGGCTTGCCGTTGTGTCACCGTCTCCAAACTCACTGATACAGCAGGGCAGCAATTTCTTGAAGCATTTCCTGAACTGCGGGCTCATGAGCGCGTAAATCAAGCCATTGACAGCAGTGCTACTAAGAATCAGCAGCTGGGTACCCTTCCAAATGTAAACATGCACAGGGAGTCCATAGTACAATAGCATTCGTATAATGATAAAGGGTGTCCATAATATAAAGAAGGTAACCGTGACTGTGATTAGGATCTTAATAACCTTTCTTCGTCCACGCAAATTTTTGTACTTGCTCGTCGTTTTTCGCCTTGAAAGAGCGCGCCTTAGTTTGCTTATCCCATGGTCTTGTTCGTCACTACTTTTCTTCTTCTCTCTCTCCTCCCCAGTTCTATGAAGTTCGCAGCCGTTTTTGCTCACCTCACTGTCACTTATTTGGTGAACAATGGGCTGACTTCCAGGAGTCTTATGCTTGGTGATGATTTTTGAAATTTTGTGATGCGCCCAAATCATTATGCTTAGAGGGACTAAATAAACTGCAATCGAATGGATTGTGTAGAAAACACGACGGTCAGAATGTGACCACTGGAGGTTCTCGCAAATAGGCACGTCTAGTTTCATTCGAATCCTATAGGCATACAGGAGGACCGAACAGAAACCGACCGAAGTTAGCCATATGATGGATATGACGATGAAAGTCTGTTTTCTGGAACGAGATTTGAGATGAGGTCTGCAAATGGCGAGGTATCTCTCGCACGAAACAGCAACCAGTGTTAGGATAGAGCAGGTGTAGAAAACCTCAATTAGGTAGCTCTGGATCTTGCAGCTTGCTTCACCAGCAAACCATCCGTTCAACATATACGCCACGGTGTCGAAAATGGAAACGATGGCAAACAGGAAGTCTGAGCAGGCCAGGTTGGCAAGGAATAAGTTCACAACGGTACGCATGAACTGGAATTTGTAGACCGCCAAAATGACGAGCAAGTTCCCGATGATCGCTGCTGAAACGACGACAGTGTAAAATATCAGGAAAAACACAGTGACCACTAATGACTGCTCCTCCACAGCCGCAACGGTGCTGTTGTTACTTGCTAATGAATCGTTGAATTCCATGATTGCTTTGCTGTGGAACGAAGAGCTCTGTTTTATCAAATCTCAAGGTTTATCAAGTTCCTTTAACGGTTCTTGATGTAGCTTCGCTCAATGCAGTCGTGTCCAGCCTGGGTGCACTATGAATAGATAATCAAACGATGTCAAGATTCTAAAGAAACAAATAAGAAAAATTTATAACATGCACATAAGAAACCAGTACGAACTTCTGCAGTCCAGTCATGATTTTGCAGAAAGCATGAATCTTTCTTACCAACGCACGTAAATTTTGTGAATTTTTTTTGCTAAATCAATGCCACAAGGTTGTGCGAATTTGTTGACTTGGCTTTACTATCCTCCTTTCTTCACCATGCAAAATGTGCTTCGTTTTATGGCTTTCATCAAGCATTAAATGCACAGAACTTCTAAGGCTATTCGGCGGCGACTTGAAAATACAATAAATAATTATGACTTCTTACTATAATTTCGAATTTGAGAATTTTGTCAGCTGTAGCAGCAACCATTTCGTAAAAGTATTGTAAGAATCAAGTGTTGTAAGAAACATTGACACAATATTGGTTAAACGCGGTCAATTGAAATAGGTTTTAATACAGTCACATTGAAAAACTCATTTAAAATCAGCAATGACACTGACTTTGCTTTTAAGAAGCCGATTCATAACGACCTTTTCAAAGTAGCACACCAATATCCTTTATAGTAACTAGAATATATAAAATATTGCAGATACTTTTTGGACAAAAGTGCTTGATTGTTTGAGTTCAGTTATATGAACAGCAAAAAATTAACGAATGGGAAATTACGATAAAGAGAGACGAGTTTTGATTTTTGTACATTTTTGTGCCAAAAAGAGCTTTTAAATGTAAGTGCTAAGATCTTACTACCCAAAATGAAAGTTCTGATCGCATGTTGTAAATAAGATTTCGAGATTTTTAGCGCCTTTTACATCCCAATGTTGCTGGAATAACAAGCACTGTATGAATCGTCTGGAGGTATAAAAACCTCCAGCTACGGGGGCAAGGCGGCAAGGTTCCAAGAAAGAGGACAAAACAATAGTAAAATAAAGGAAATTGCTAAATTTGGCGAGGGGAAGGGGGGCCACCGCCCCTGCTGCCCCCGGTGCAGGTGTCCCTGAGTGGAGAATAGTTCATCTTAAAACAACCACCATCAGCTGCAGCCCTACAAATTACGGTGTTTTTAAAACATTGATTCTTACCAGGTAACGGAAATTGGAGTGGCGAGGGCGGGCTGTGTCAACACCAAATCTCCCTTTGCAAAGAGCTAAAGTTTATTCGACAGAGCTGAATGGTGAAGAGATCTCAGACTTTATGTTACGTGGGCCACAAAAGCTCCCAATAACAAGATATAGAATTACTTAATTAATCCGACAAAAGCTTTCCAACTTTGGAAGTTTACTGTCAATACAGAGCGTAACTTATCGTTGTGATTTGCACTGTATGTCTGAAATGGAATATTTTTAATAACTATAAAACAACCAAAAAGTGAACATACCTTTATTTCATTTCAATCTTAATGATGACTGTTGTTCTCAAAGCAATGAATGGCTCTCCCAACTTTCCATGCTGTTATACCAATCATGTACCTGAGAACCATCAATCGGAATGGATTCGATGCACGAGAAAGTTCAGGGTTGACTCCCAAACAACGCTACGAATACTCAAACACACAAATCCTCGGTTATCGACACGTTTCTTTGTTTAGTTGGCAAGTGTATAGATGCGAAAAACTTAGAGATGCCCGTATCTCTGTGAATTAACTATCGACCTGCTTGCATCTACAGCCCACGTGCGTTTCGTTCCACGCACCGTTGTTATGTCCTGTTCTTGTTTAGAAGTTGCAGTGATGGAAAACAAGTTGACAGGATATTGCAGTAATGCTTGCGGTTGCCCGGTTATTGAACAGCCTTGTTGCACTTCTTATTTTCGTGGTGTAGGTAATTTGCCAATCTAAAAGATATTTAAACAATATATTATTGCAAAGTGAAAAACTCTACAGTTACAAAAACAGTTCACGCCCTGTTTCTATATCAGGCCGTTATGCATTCATTGCGTCATATATTACGACTGTCTCTGTATTAAAGAAGATTACAGACTAAAACGAATGAAATGTATAACATAAGAGGCGGGGGTTCGCCAATTCATGCATGATAAATTCACGTGATTCAAATCCCAGTGACCCGAGGGATATAAAATATGGTTATGAGGCGTAGCCGGAATCCAGTAAGAGGTTTCTTTTACGTACATTTAGTCTCTTATTTTTTGCTGTGATAATTTTCCATAAATATTTCATTGCTACATTTGTGACGATTTGAGATATACTGATTCTTATTTCCATTGTCTTTCAGCCCCTGTAAATAAAACTTAGAATGGAGCAACCGCAGCATGCAAAATAAGATGAAAAGAAAATGAAAAAGGTTAGATTAGAGAAGTGTTATGATCTAATTACTTCTTGCTACAAAACCTATACACAGTTAGCTATCTTTATCACATCCCGCAGGGCCTGGCAATTGAATAACATTAGATGAGCCCGCACGGGTTGGTTTCAGAATCTTGCACTTAGCAATGTGTTTACCATCTTTCAAAATGTTTTTATCACATAAAAAGAGTTGTATACTCGAGAGCTTTACCCCATTATAAATAGTTACCAAAAATAGAGATGTTTCAATTTCCTACTAGCGATACTACAGCATCGAAACTTCTTTAAAGCAGATATAAAATTTGCTTACATGAAATTACACAAGGGTGTCATAAATGAAGTCTTTTTAAACGGTTTTGTAATATAGAAAATATAAAATTATTAAGTGTACAAATTAAATAATCGGGGCAAAGCTGCATGCTAGTGAGAGGATGGGATCTTGTGTTGCCTAAATTGTCGAATAGACCAAGAAGGATTGTAATTAGCCCATCGTACCTTTAAGAAGGAGAAAAAAGTCAAAAAGACCTGCGGCGAGGTTTCTTGTGAGTCAGCTTGTGTGAGTCAGGTTATCTCGCACTGGGTACTGTTTTTAGTGCACCTACAAAGAATTGCTTTGATCAGAAAAAAGAGTCCTAAGTCCAAGGCAAATAAGGAAATACTAGTTTTTGGTATATTAAATATTAAGCCCGTAGATCTGGGCTAAGGTTACAATGAACCGGATTCCTGTTAAACCGGATACATAATGATTATACTGGTGTAATTTACTGGTTTTCAGTCGAAATACGATTCTACTACAGCTCCTATGATGCATTCCGCAACAGTGCATGCTATTTGAAAGGACGGTTACATTGCGATTCAAAATAGAGGGATGTGATGAAGAAACATGGTCGCAGGGACAATTAGCTATACTAACTGAGGTTATTTAAGCGTTCGTTTACATTAAATAAACATTTACATATACCATTCATTAAAAATTGACGTCTTACGTGTGGGAAATGCAAAATCAGTATTGGAAAGTAGACAAGTGACCCCCCTAATAGAAATGGACAGCGCAAAACAATGGACAGTAGACAAGCGACCCCCCTAATAGAAATAGACAGCGCAAAACAAGGGTGTTTTCATTGGTTGATTGCAAATGTACAGATAAACCTTCTTACGTCATAACTCAGAAATCTCTTATTGTTTGTAGAGAACAGTGTCAGGTCATGAACTGCTTGCAAGTAACAATAACATCCCAGCCAGTGGTTACAATATTCATCACACTTATCGAACGCAATAACATGCTTATTACACTTTTCTATGAGACTTAGGCCTTGTGGCTTACTTCGCAAATGGGCCTATACAAATTGGATTCTGTGCTTCTGGGCCGATAAGTAATACGATTTGTGGCCGTAAAGAACTACGCTTGGCAGCGCAAATGGTAATTTCAATGGAAATATTGAAGCGAAGGAGAAAATAATGGAAAGACTTTGATATAACCCTCTACCGTTTGTAATCTGCTAGCAAACAAAGGAACAAGCAAAAACAGAAACTACAGAGAAGTCACTCCGGGACTGCAGAAGGAGCTCTGGGGCGGTGCCCGCCACTGGGCTGTATGGGGGGGGGAGAGGGGTGGCGGGTAAACATGAAATTCTAGGCCACGCCCTTATCACTGTGAGAAAACTTACCATTAGCAACAGAGAAAGCCAATCTCGCCAATAGGAAACGCCTATGACTAACTTTTACTGTTTCAATTTTGCTTACGATTAGACTGTTTCATAGAATCGCAATACAAAGAATACGTTGCCAAAATATTACCTCTCCCTCAAAATTTTCTCATATAGTTTAGTCATTGAAATTAGACGAAATACAAAATCGATCCTTTTGAGAACTGTAGAAAGGGGAGGGATGAGCCCCAACCACCGAGCCCCTCCCATCCCAGTTTCCGGATGCGCCGGTCACTGAGCGTCCTGACCAGAAACCCTGAAGTATTTTCTCATCTATTCTTTATCGTTATTTCTTTGCAAGTTCTGATCACGTGGACTTTACAGTAGCGATAAAGTTCTTGATGCGGATAGAAAAGAAGCTGCATAGGTGCAGAGACGATTAAATCAAGAAATGGAAGAAGGCAAAATAAGCAGAGAACGATATGAGCATAGGTTGTACTTCACCCTCAACCACACAGGTTGTTTATCCACCAAAACAAAAGGCACAATTATAACAAAGAATCGTTCCAGACGTACAATTACCTAAAGCGTTTTTATCAAATACACTGAAATAATCATATGGGAATTTCGCCACGAGGTGAATTTAATAAATATGGTATTTTAACTTACCGCAGCCCGGTGGAGCAAAAAACCTGAAGTTAGAACAAATAGGTGTAGGATAACATGCAACCAGAAAAGTTCATCTCTCAAACATAAAAACAGAGGACAACCTTCTCAAGAGCATTAAATTATTCTACGAGAAAGGGACGTCGTCATATGATATTTTCTTATCATTTTTTGTAAACAGGAAATTTTGCATTACCATCTGGCAACCAGCCTAACCAGAGATTTTTCAAAGTTTAAACTTTAAAAGTAAAAGGCGAAGGCCACTGATCATTTTCAGTCTCGGGAACATTCTGGCAAATGAACGGTAGACACACCTCCGGAAGCATGGAAAATGGCAGGTTAGAAATATTTCGACTTTCGAACTTTTCAGATCTGATGATACCATCTGAAACGAGGGGCAAATCACTCTAAGAAAATTAAAAAATTAAACAAACCTTGGTGTAGTTTGATGTAGATTATTTTCCATACCTAGAACCAAACGACGTGGGATTTATACGAGCAACGCGCGGCGTTCGACCTGATTCAAAGACATACCAGTGGAGCCTGCCAGTCCTGAAAATGAACACTAGAAAAAGGGGAAAATACATAATTATTTGGGTCGGGTGGGCGTATAAATCCCACGTCGTTTGGTTCTAGGTATGGAAAATAATCTACATCAAACTACACCAAGGTTTGTTTAATTTTTTAATTATTTTCCATAACTAGAACCCAAACTCCTTTCGGTATTTATACGAGACTTCAAAGAGACTGGCAATGTGTTGATCAAGAAGACTTGAACTGAGAAATGATCGATTGTACGCACACAAATAATCAATATTAACAATCAAAATTGGCTAAAATGCTACTACCAAAGTTACTTTCATGAATTGTCTTATTATAAAAACGTCCAAAAGTACTCGAATTCGACCATCCTGCAGCTTTGTTTATAGCTGTTAGCGATAGGCCAATACTTCGTGCCTTGGATGTTGATGCAGCCCTAGTAGAGTGAGAGGTAAATACATTAATATCAATTCCTGCCAATTGCAAAGTGGTTCTCACCCAACGTGAAATGGTCGAGGTGCAAACAGATTGATGAGGAGATTTATAACTCACAAACAATTTCACTCTCGGACCACGTAGAGAGAATGATCTAAACAAGTACTGCTGTGTATTAAATACAGGACAAATAGCCTTGCTATCAGGGAATGCACGGAAATCAAGAGGTGACTGATGAAAACCAGGTCTAGTTGTTTTGAGAACTTGATCAATATAACAAACAACTCTGTCATCAGAAACATCCATAAGTCTGATGTCAATAGCAGCAAATGTTTGGTCTCTCTGTCCTGATAGAAGACAAAACAATGTTACAAGACGAAAGGTAAGCATTTTAAATGGAATAGCATCTGCATCACCTAGGCCCTTTAGATACTGTAACACAACATCAACATCATAAGTGTTAACATGCTTAGGAATACTCGGCCGTATGTTAAACATCCCTCGCAGTAATCTCTTAACGAGTGGATTGTTACCAAATGACGAACTTGTATCTGGTGTCATAATATTGGATAATGCTGAACGAGCAGTGTTCATAGCAGAGTAGCCCAAATTATGTTTGTTAAATAGTTCTGTTAGGAAGTTAATTCCATGATTAATAGAATAATGTGTGGGACATATGTCCACTCTTTGACAGTAAACAAACCATCTGTCTAAATAGGTAGAATATTGTTTTGAAGTACCAGATGACCAAGATGAATCAATTATATATTTGGCTTCAGATGATATACCTATTGGTAATCTTTTGTTCCAGATATCATGCCAGCTAGCAGTTGCAGAGACTTCTGTAGTGGGTGCACAGCTTGTGGACGGTTTGGCAGTAACATTAGATGCTTGCTGGAAGGAATAACAATTCGTTCAGAAATCAACATTCTATTGTACAGAGAATACCAGGGACTATATGGCCAATTAGGAACAATTAGAAGACCAGTTGCATTGTCAGAACAAATCTTTTGTAAAACATTAGGAATAATTGCAAATGGTGGAAAGGCATAAAATTTAATGGTTGACCAGCTAAATGTAAACGAATCAATTGCTGAAGCCTCTGGATCTGGCCAAAACGATGCAAAAGGCTTAAATTGGCAATTGATTCTAGAGGCAAATAAATCAATGTCTAAGGTAACATTTAATTTTTTGATTACAAATTTAAACACAGATGGATTTAACTGCCATTCTGTTCGAAGCTCATAGTTTCTAGATTCAGCATCAGCTAAATAGTTCTGAACTCCTGGGATGAAGGACACAGATATGCAGTTTTGATTCTGGATAGCCCAATTCCAAATTTGCTTCACTTCTTCATTACAAGCCAAAGAACGACAGGATCCCATATTTTTAATGCTGTGTACTGCATTCATATTATCAGTCAAAATTTTAACATGTGTATTCCTTTGGTCAATCAAAGAAGTTAGCCCATACAAAATAGCCTTTAGCTCAAGCACATTAATATGGAGTTGTTGCTCATGGAGATTCCAAACCCCTCTTGTCCTTGTACTGCCTAAGACAGCTCCCCAACCAGTAGATGAGGCATCAGTAGCAATAACCATTTCAGGATTAGAGATTGCCATGTCATTAAATGAGCTTTCAACATTATCAATCCACCATCTTAAGTCATCATAGGCTGTTTTAGACAGTGACATTGCATGGTCAAAATTGCCCTTAGAAATAGCTAGTGCCTGAATTTTGTCATTTTCTAATGATCTATAGTGTAAAGGCCCAAATTTAACAGCAGGGAATGTGCTCACAATTAAGCCTATCACTGATGCAACATCTCTTATTGATAGGTTATTAGACATACACAATTTGGAACATTTATCTTTAATTTTCAATACTTTGGTTGATGGGAGGGTGACATTCATTGTTTCTGAATTGATAGTAAATCCTAGATAGGTAACACACTTAGAAGGAATAAAATTAGATTTTTTAGGATGAATAACAAAACCTAAAAAATCCAATAATTTGATTGTTTCAACAGTAGCTTTAATACAAGCATCATATGATTCATCAATTATTATGATATCATCAATATATGCTGAGACAATGAAACCTTGCTTTCTCAAGAACGCTAAAGCAGGTTTTAATAATTTTGTAAACTTCCTTGGACCAGAACATAATCCATTTGGTAACGCTAAGAACTTAAACAGTTTGTCTTGATACTTGAACTTCAGATACTTTTGACAGGATTCAGATATGGCTACTGAATAATAAGCATCCTTTATATCTACAGTACACATAAAACAATTTTGTCTAACTAATTTGATAACCTTGTCAAAGGTGTCCATCTTAAAATGCATATATGGCATAGACTCGTTCAATTTCCACAAATTAAGAATAAGTCTAAAAGAATCACCATCTTTTGGGACAAGAAAAATTGGGGAGATAAATTCATCTCCTTCATGATCACATTCTGTTATAACATGTTTATCCTGTAATGTTTTAATCTCTGCTAGAATAAACTCATTTTCTTCAGCTGAAAATGGCACAGCATAATTTCTCTCAAAATTGAGAGGCAATGAGAATTCAAGCTGTAAACCAGCTACAGTTTGTAAAGTTTCAAAGTCACTAGTGACAGTATACCAACGTTCCAGATGATTTTTAAGTGCACCTGCTCTAAATATGTCAATCTTGTACAAAAGATATTTTGTCAGTTTAGGGAGAAATGAAATGAAATTATTTACATTTATCCCTTGTAGGGCTTCTGCTTCCGCCGATATGGACGAGACTTCTGGCCTTTCTCTAAAAAAGACTGCTGAGTAGGGCCATTATAAAAAGAGTGCTGTGTTCGCCTATTAAACACTGGTATCTGCCTATCATGTTGTCTTCATCTTGTCTTACCTAGTAGACTGAGCAATCGATGGAGAGCAGCAGAGGCAGACGTTTAGACTCCCTTTCTTGCTCAGCGTTTCTTCAATTTTCTCTCCAAACAGATTTTGAGACTTCAGTATAGCGTCACATGTCCTGTACATCGCCTTGTTAAGTATGCTTATATCTAAGCCTTCGTAAATTTGAATATTGACACTGCATTAGAAAGAAACAATAGTGCATCAAAGGCTTTCAAAACAATAGCCTTCTGTTTCAATACTATTATCTTTTCTGCAAGAAAAGTAATCATCAGCCAAAAGTTTTTGAATTATATGTGGGAGGATGGAGCAACACGAAGGATTGAACATCATTTACTGAATGTACCTCTTCCCGTGTAGCCCCAAAAAACAAGATCCGTTAAAAGGAACGCAGGTTCTGAGCAAAGGTTGTTATTGTTGTTGTGTTGTGTGTTGGCATAGGAACAGAAAACTTTCGCAAGGGTAAGTAGACCGTATTTGTACTACACTTATGATTCCGCTGATGCTATACTCTGCGCGTGTCACAACTTAGCGTCTACATGTGTGGTAATCTCACAAGCGGTCCTCATGTGCGTGGCTTGCGATCTTTCTCCTGACAGTAATGTCCACAATCGTATTCCAAGAATGAGTGTGTCAGCTTGATCCATTGTCAGTACCAGCATGCATACCTCTCTGCCAACGCGTCTGTGTTCCCATGCTTCTAAATAACCGAACCTCGACCTTCTTCCAATTTGATCCATTCACACCCTCTGGCTCGAAGGGCCTAGATTTCTTGTCTCTTGCCATTCATCAAGACTTGCAGGAAATACCATTCTGTTACTGTGGAAGGCACATTGGAAACAACACGCAATAGCCACTCGCTGTTTGATCGCTCTGTTATTAGACGAACATCATTGATATACCCAATCACTGATTTTCCGTGTGTGTGTATCTTGGAAGAATCTAACATGGTCGCCCTCACGGCGCCGCATAATGTTTCTTGGTACAGCAGAATTCTTTTCCCCGTATTCGTCTCTTTCTACAACACTGATTCTACAGTTGTGTGTCTCCCCCCGCACATCATCTATACCTACATCATCATTATCTTCTCACTTTCTAGAGCTTATCACCGTGAATGAGTCATTAAGTGTACTGTCTGGTACGGTCTACACGTGCGGAAGAGACTCCGACTCTTTTAGTCCACTGCCATATTATTTATGAAAATTAACAACTCTTCTAAAAGTCCCAGTAATTCGTTAAAATCTCTATCGTACATTCAATTAAATCTAACGACGAATGCGTATGAAGAAAACCTGGTTGTCGGAAGAACACCCAGGATCGACTTCGACTCCTGAACCTGCACGTGGGTCAGGTCAGTGTCGAAGGTCCAGATAGCATACAAATTATCTTGGTTATCATAACTAAAAAACAAATTGTAAACTAGTGTAAATATCCACGTTAGATTAGCTTGAAAAAAAAGGAATACGATAAATCAAAACGGAGAAAGATTAAATACCGACTTGTTCAACACGTGGCTCCACTGCTTCTTATCAGCTCGAAACACCAACAGGTTGAAGGTCAACGCCGCGCGTTGCTCGTTATAAATACCGAAAGAGTTTAGGTTTTTATGAGAAATAATCTTGAGAACCCAACGACACCAACTGGTTTACGTCCTGTGATTTATGCAAGTTGTAATTCAATGCTTCTTGAATTTGTGTGTTTATTCGGTATTCTCATAACTATCAGCATTTAAAGACTCTTCAAATCCCACAAATATCACCAGAATAAAACCATCTCTTCTTGGAGCCTTCTTACGGCTTGAGCGTTTAGATCTTGCAAGTCCTCAGCATCTGGACTGGACTTTCGGCATTTCAATTGTTTTCATTATCTGTTTCAAGGTCTGCAACTCTTTCATCATCCTCAGTTTAGTTTTTTTTTTTTTTTTTTTTTTTTTTTTTATATCCAGATAAAGTTACAATACAAATTACATTCTACATTACTTGCTAATTACTTACGATACTACAGTACGATACCTGGAGACATGGACAATGCCAACCCCATGCCATTCATGCAACTTAGAGAAACAAATACGAACGCTATCACTTACACTTAATCAATGTTACAAAAAAAGGAAAAGAATTTATTAATATAGAAGATTACAGTACAAGATAATACGTTTTGAAAAACTGAAAAAAGCAAATAAGTGGGAGACACAAGACTAAGGGATATTTGATGAACTGATTTATGATCATTCAAAGCGTCCGTTCTTAAATATACAGATAGTAGATTCCAAAATAAATTTATTTCTTCAAATGCAATTTTTTGTCGCACGTACAAAAAGAATCTGTAAAGGATAGGATTAGGAACGTTGGTAAATTCAAAAGAGTGCAAGTACTGGAATGACACAAGCGAGAATCATGTCTGTTGTTTCAAAAGAATGGCATAACAATATGAAGTGCTCCGTATCCTCAAGCCATCGTCTTGATCGACACATCGGTTGATTGTGTCACTAAAATATGACTGAATTTGTGGAAATTAGTTTTGCTCAAACCCCCTAAGTTGAGTTAATAAAGAAAGCCCTTCGTGGGTCATGAGATACCGAAAACAGAGTTAGTAAAGTGGTAATGTATTGACAGCAATCATATTTGAATTATATCAATGGAAGGCGATTCTTCTGTATTTTAAGGTCAAGCTGATTCCATTCATGTAAGCGTGTGGGGGAAAAAGCGACTTATATGTTTTTCACGTGCTCCATGACTCTATTGTATCCACTACGGGTGATTTTTACGAAAGCGAATGATAGGAGTAAGTCAGGCGGGAAGAGGATTTGCTTGAATTTCACCAGGGAAGCAGAGGCGGTAAGGATGGAAGCAGGAGAAGCGCCGACTCCAGGTCGCAGGAACGATGTGGGCGAGGGCCTTCACATTTCCGCGTAAGACGTCGGATAGCTGCATGCGGAAAGTGACACACCAATGCTGGCACAGCCCCTACTCACACTTGTCGAAGTGTGTGTGTGTTATCGGGTGTTACCCGCAGGCCGAGTTGTGCGGCCCAGTCGCGATATAGTTGTGTTCTCACTGTTAGATGGGTGAGAACGGACTTTTTCTTTCCCCCCAAGGAAGGTGGGGGTATCACAGCACCATTAATCGAAAGAGCGGACATAAAGTTGTATTAAAGCATATGCAATGTGCGCGAGGAAGAGTATGGGGAAAGAAAACCAACAGTGCCATAGGCGTGGTGCTTGAGTTGCAATAAGCTTGCCATGTGTAGGACTGAAGAAAAAGCCGAGAGGCGGTGGAAGCCCAAAGGCGGAGGCGCGGCCACGGTCATTACTGTCGAATAGGATGAAAAAATAAGTCGGGAGGAAC